CGGCAGGGCCCCGATCAGAGAAGAGCACAGAGGCCCGGAAAATCCGCAGCCCTTCGGTGCCCCGGCAGGGATGGGCCGGGGCTACTCCGTGTGCCTGGCAGTGGTCAGACCCCGAGCAGCACAGGCAGACTTCACACCCATTTCCAGTTTGTCACTGAATGGTTGCATGAGCCTGAAACAGCAAGCAGCCACATAGATACAAGTCAGAGAGCCCCGAGCCTGATTTCCTGGGAATTAAATGGGCCAAACCGAGTCAGGCATTCACCAAGTTTAAAATTACCCACTGAAGACTGAGAATGGAAGAACAGAGAACACATGGAAATGCTACTAAGATAAATGGAAACAAACCATCTGGCCAGAGCAGTGTTTTTGTAATTTAGTAGAAATACACCAAGACTTTAATGCTGGTAAACAGTTGGATGAAACAGACTAGGACTGACTAAGAGAGGCAGAACTGACCTTAGAGCACACGGGAAGGTGTGATGCTCTCAGGAATGAATAGAAATGCCAAACTGGAAAGAAGGCTTCAAGGACACCAGGTAGGCATGATATCTAGATAAGATCCTTCACCTCATCTAATTGTTCTTCCAGTGACAACAGTATTCTTTTACTTACTACACAGGAGTTCCTCTAAGTTTATGTAATTTCAGGTTAGTTCTCTGCTATCCTTTAAATACTCAAAGAAAAGCATCTGCCACTATCCTCTTTGAGCAGATGCAATATTCAGAAGTAATTACTAAGAGAGAAGGAAAATAGACAAGAGCAGGCTCAAAGGTGGTGAAAAGATTCTGAATTTTCTTTGTGCAATTAAGAGTTTAATTTAAAAGGTGTGTAACAAAGTTATATCTTCTGTACAAGTGGTATCTGCCCACTGAAATGTTGTATTGACTCTTGCCCAGCAAAAGGTTTTCTACTCAGGCAATTCCCTGAGTAGGTTTTTCATACCATACTATTTGGACAGATTTTTTTTTTTTTAAATAGAGTTTTTTGCCTTTGTGTACAAATCTGCTTGCCTTTATTTTCATAAAAAACCCCAAGAAAACAGAGATTAAAAATGGTGATTGGGACAAAATTGATACAGGCTGTACAATCAACATGAGGGAGACCAACAAACCTCAGTGTCTAAAAACCTCATTGAACATACCAGTAAATTACACTAGGGTTCAGACCATTAACTCATAGCAATCTGAAACAATTCGACAAAAACATCTTTGTTAAATTTGCTTTGCTATTGGAAGGAAATCTCTATCATTTATTGTGGTTATAGCTGTACATTCCAATTTAGCTATTAATTAATTTTATTAATGAATTAAATCATGTGCATCAATATGAAAAAAAAAACTCCAATAAACCAGCTTTTGTTCCAAAGCACTATGTATCACACCCAAATTCCTCCTAAAGTACAATAGTTTTAATCCTTACTTTGTATTTAATTAATAAATATTTGACACTTTTCTATTACCTGGTCACACAAGGAATGGCTGAACATAAATGGATGAATTTTCATCCTAGACTAGAGTTGCAATACTGCCACTCACAGAACAAAGACAAATGGCTGTAATAGAAGAATTATCTCTGAGTGTTATTTTTTGGGTAGTGCTTTATTCATCAAACAGGCAGGAAATTGTTCTTGCTTATTGTGAAGCAGGAATATCATTTTTGGAGGCAAAAGACAAGCCAGTCAGCAGGGAGATGGCAGCAGCTGAGAGAATGTAAATGACAAAGTTCAGTGTTAGAACAATTCCTTGCAGACATTCCTGATGGAGAGAATGACAAGTGGAAATCGAGGTGGTAAATTCTAGTTCTGTAACAAGCAGAGGGAGGAAGCAGAGTTAGCGTATGGAGAATTTACAAAAGTGAGAAGGCAGCTTTGTGTTGAGACCTGGGAGGATTGAAGCTGCTTATGTTTTTGTTCATACAGAGGGAACTTTCTTTTGTCCGAGGCAAGAACCCACACTTAATTCTGAGACTGCAGTTCTGTTGCCTGTTGGTTTGATTGTGCTTGGTGTTTGATAGGTCAGAAAACACTTGGACTCCTTCATTGCTTGTGGTGAGGCAAGAGATACATATTGGGAAGTTGCTTTTCTTCCTTTTCCAGAGATGCTGGGATTCACCCACACCTCTCTTAGTGGCTTTGTCATTTTACCATCTGCATGATTTTGATTATTAAAGGTTACATGTGTTTTGAAATCTTTCCCCGCGCTGGATGTTTGACTTCAATATTTGTACAGTAGATCTTCTGGAGCTCTGCAGCTAGAATATCATGCTAGTTTTTTAGTACACAGAAAATGTAGCTCTTGGCATTCTGGCAGATTTGCCAGACCTTTGCACACAGCCAGGCATTTGTACTACCTCTATATATAATATTGAATGACAGCTCTTTAATTTCCAGGGGACTGGCCATGGGCATTGAACTCCCTCCTCTTCTGGATACTTTTAATCCTTGTGCTCCCTTGCAGTTTTGTAACAACAGAAAGACTATTTGCCCCCTGCATGCCCATGGATGCGCACCCGCACTTTGGATGCCACTGCCTGGGAGCATGCGTGGCTTTTGTCTTGTGTCACTCCTCTCCTGACTCTTGTCATGTGCTTTGGGAGCTGGCAAGGACTCACAGGCACAGTTTGCACCCCCAGTGTCACTTTCTAAGGGTATGAGTCAACATTTTGAGTCTGCTCTGTGACCCAGTGTCTGCAGAGCTAATTGGATTTCTGCTGAGTGGATTTGTTTCAGGGAATAGTTTATTTGTGAAAATAATTTCTTTTGCTCAGGAAGAAGGGTAAGGGGAGGGAGGGATCCAGCTATCTGAACATTCAATTGAATTTAGCGAATAATGTTCTCTTTTTCTTCCCCTTCTCCCATGGAACAGGGGAAAAAAATATCAGAACAATCACTAAATCAGGAAATATTGTTGTGCTTGACCTGCAATATTGGTCTGGCCTGCAGAGGTATGGCACTCACTGTTAGCCAAGTGACCCGGTGAGAGCAATGCTGACAATACTCTGCATGCATATCCTCACCATCACATTAGAGCCATTGAATATAAAGCAGCACAATTTGAGAGCAGAAGATAAATGAACTGCATAAAGTCTTTTGCCAAATCATATAAGGGGACGTATTTGAGAAGGGTACTATGCTCAGCTTATTTGGCTAATAGTCACATTACTGTTTCAAATACATTTCTTCCTTCAAAGTAGAATTCTGGGGTTCAGAGAAGAGAGCTGTAGTGCCTCCCGTTAGTTTTCCAGGTAAATCTGGGTCATTCCCAGTGCAGTGCCTTACTGTGATGCCCTCAAATGGGCCATTTGGTTCTCAATGAGGAAAGGTCTTTTTTTTCCATTTAGGAAAGAAATAACATCAAAACCAGGTTTTGTATGGTCACTGTTGAGGAGCGATTACAAATTTTTTTTTCAAAGTGAGCAAGTGCCCAGGGATGAGCCAGGAAGTGGCTCCTTCTTTCGTGCTCCTGTGTCCACATCCACTCCTGGCTGCAGAATCTACTATGTACACAGAGCCTGGGGATGTAGGTCAGGAACGCTTGTGCCTTCCATGGGTGACCAGTTCTGTACTTATTTCTCTTGTCAGTCCATTCCCCACTGTTCCCAGTCACCCTTCACAGAGCCTGGGCAGATAACCTTTGAGTAATAATCTGAAATTCAAATACAAATAATTGACTACTGAACTGCCCTAATATTTGAGAAAGGTTTTAAACTAAAACAGGTTCTTCTGTGTGCTGTTACTGTCCTGGCAGCTGTGTGTGTACGGTAAGTGTACTGAGAAAGGTAATATTAACAGAATGAAAAGGTCGGAGTTTTATAAAAATCCTTTTAAAAGTAAATAGGCTTGCCAAACTGAATTCCCCACAGGTAGACAGAGGTTAAGAACTGAGAACATTTGGGCCTTTGGTAGGTCAAGTTGTTCATCTGTAAACACCCTTCAGAAATACAAACACCAGCCAAGTCTGGAGAAGTACAGGGATTGTGGCCAGCCAAATTTAGCTCTGGCTGTGCCTCCAGGCAAGCAGGCCAAGGCTCAAACAGCTCCTGAGGGAGGTATCTGGGGGCACCGTGGGGATGGGCACAGCACACCTGTGTCATGCCCAGGGACAAGGGAGGCAGATGCACATGGTAGTCGCTGCCCACATGCCCTAGTATTAGCAGGTGAAAAAACAGGTTTATTGCAGCTGTGTTGACAGATGGACCCGGGCGTTGGTGCAGTCCTGGCTGGGCAGTTTGCAGCTGGATATTTGGGCAGAGGCCTTGGTGCGCTCCACGCCTCTTTGAAGAGATGGGATGGAATGGGAAGGCACACAACAGGAGGAGATTTATAGCCTTAGTTTCTATTGCAATTTGAGATTGCACTGTTAAGCACCTTTGTTTCTAACCACAAGAGTGGCTGCAAAATGGTGGAGTCTACATGACCCCTTTCCTAACTCTCAGAGAGGTTTTATGAGGTTTAATCCATTACTCGATCCTCACAGGAAAAGAGGAGTATTTATGTCATCACTGACTGTTAGTCTCACATTGTTAATTAAAAGCAAACAACTTAGATGTCAGATCTTGGACAAAAATAAGTTTAAAAAATTCTTCTACAGTTTTCAAGAGGAAATAATTCCTTTAGGTATGCCTACTGATATTTGTGCCTTTTCACCACATCTCACATTGCTTTAAAACCTGTTTGCCTTCTGCTTTTCTGGACATCCTGTTAAGGAGATATGTCAGCTCTGACACAGAAATGTGGCTGGAGCTTGTGGGGCAGTTCAAGGCCCTCTATCTCTTAAACCTTTCAAGAGATTACTGGCAGGAGAGTTAAATTTCTCTGCCAGCTAGACCCAAAGAGAGCCCGCTGCCAAGCAGCTGGGCTGCGTTTCTTGGCTGTGCAGGAGCTCCTCTGGGGACATGAGTGGCAGCGTGACACCCTGGCACCATGATGCCATTTGCATCATCAGGTTACTTGCAGGTGTAAGACAGTGAAAAGGGAAAATAAAGAAAAGTAATAGTGATGGCTGTGAAAATTGAACTTTTATTATCTGTTCACTGTATACAAAACACCATTCTGCATAGTGATAACTCATTTGTTGTACAGTTGACAGTGCACATCAACAAACAAGTGTTCAGAGGTATCCACTAAGTGGGAAGGGCAGTGGTGGCAGTAGCCAGCATACACTGAGGTGCTGTGCCCACTGTGCGCTTTAGATGAACTACCTCACAAGCACTTGATGTGCCAGTAATATAAATGGGCTAACAAGCATCTACCCAAGAGCCAGATTAGGAATGAGGATGGAGAGAGCAGAACTAATGTACCTGATAAACAATTTCCAGAATGATTAAATTTTACAGAGGTGGCAGAGAGGACCTATATTTTTTTAAACACTTCAAAATTTAAAACTGTTAGAATTTAACGATAAATAACAGAATCTCACAAATCTTTTGGGGCAAAATGCTCCACATTTATTTACATATGAAGTGTGTTTAATACAGTCGTAATGGACATAGTGTATAGTAACATCTGACAGCAGCAAGACTTTTAAGGAACCCAACAATTACTACTGTTTATCATGCATCTATCTATATATACACAATTTGTTTTAAAAAAAGGTACAAAAATTTTTTGTAGGGTTACATACAAGGTATAAAATGCAAAAACAAACTAAAAATATACTCTCACAGAGAACTCTATCTGAAAGGAACAGTATGGTACCTTTTTGTACTTGTGCAAGCAAAACTAGTGGTGCTGGACAGGAGTTTGCAATGTCTGGCCGAGCTCCGCAGGGCCTACGCTAAAGCTGCAAGCCCCAGTTCTGCTCCTGGCTGGGGCTGGCTCCTTCCCAGTTGTGGCTGTGTGTGACACTAAGCACCAGAACATTTGGCATGATCATGTGGAGTTGGCAAATCCCAACCCCTGTAGCAAGGGTCAACTATTTTGTTTCAATAACCAGCAAGGAAAATACATAATGCTGTGTAATCACTTCTGTATGTTTAATAAATTACATGACAAAAACCATCATAAGTATAAACCTATTCCTCTAATTACATCTTATTTCTTAAATCCAGAGCAGCCCAGCCCATTTGTAACAATTTGACCTTTGATCACAAGCACCTGGTGACCTAAAAAAGACACTTCATGATACTCAAGAGTTGTGCATTTATACTCTTTTTAAAAGTACTTTACCACTCCAGGGGGTGTGCACCTGTTCTGGTGTTGCCACCTAAAAAACAGCACTTTATTTTACACATGCAGTGGTACTTTTATCTTTTTTTATAATATATTTTGTAAGAAAAAGTGTAAAAGCTTCCTCAGACATTTGGAAGCCCAAATTCCTTAGAATTTAAAATCTCCCCTTAGCTTGCTTCCTCTCTCCTCTCCCCTCCTAGCACCTCCTCCTGATGCACTTCCATTAGCTAAACTTTCTTTCAGAAGCATTCAAAAAGCAAAGAGTTTAAGAGAACCCAAGGAACTGCCCCAGCATTCAGAACTCTTCTAAAGAAACTTACTACAAAAGAACAGAAAATAACCAGAAAAAAAACCCAGTTTTTCGACTAGATACTGATACAAATACATAACTAAAGAGTATAAAAATTATTAGTTTAAATATATACAAACATTTTTCAACTCAAATACTGCTTCAATGGTTCTGACGGTTTAGACAATGAGGTGAAGGGGACACTTTTATGCAGAATATATTGCAACAGCCTGAACAGTACTGTTAACACTATTATACCTTGAACTTTCTGTAACAAAAATGTCACTAGTATTCCAATGTGGAGCGAGATTTCTGCATCCCAAACAATCTGATCACTTGTCAGCTGAATTCATTCTTTTGGACTTGATGAAGGCCATGCCATGTGTTCTCATGTGAGTGTTTAAGGCCGCTTCAGTTTCAAAAGTCTTTGCGCACACTTTGCATCTTCTGTCTGATGCTGCACTGTTGGAAGAGTCATCCTCATGGTTGGGTTTGTTTTCTTGTTGATTATCCTCCCCAGACCCATTCTGTTTTGATACTGGCTGAGGCTCCTTCAACTTATGTACAATGAAGAGGTGTCTGGAAAGAGACACATGAGATGTGTAGCAGAGTCCACATTCCCTGCACTGGTATGAAGAGCCATCAGATTTATGCTGAGGAATATGTTCATGAAACTGGAGAAGATTTTCTGTTGTAAAGCCACAGACTGCACACTTGTGAACTTTAAAAACATTTATCTTCAGCTTCTTTAATGGCTGAGTAATTGCACCTCGTGGAGGTCTGAACTCCATTACTGGTTCTTCCAATTTACGCTTTGGACTAGGAACCTAACAAAGAGACAGAAATAGTGTATCATATAAGCATAAATATGCAGTTCTTTTCGTAACTATTTGTGACTTGCAAATGTCAAAACCTTTCCCTTAGCAAATTTTAAAACAACTCTGATAAACAATCCTTTTGAGGTTCTGCTTCACAGAAGATGAGGCACTTATGGCATGGAAGTACTTGTATTTATTTAAAGATCCTGAATATATACCGAAGAAAAAACATTCTCAGTGACTGAATGAGTCTTCTAAGTCATTACCTTTGTGTCTTCTTTTACTTCCCTTTCTTCCATATTGGTAGATTCAGTCATTTCTTTCACATCAGGGTCTTTAATGCCATGCATCAACTGAATATGTTTTTCCAACATCAACCTCTTGGTAAAAGTACGTCTCGAATCTGGGCAATGCCTGCAGATACACACACACACACAAACATTCAAGTGTCATACTTAAGAAGTGTCTTTTGTAGATTGGAAGAGTGGCTGTGTATGTGAGAGACTCCTGAAAACCAGGTTTTCCAAAGTGGAACTGTGAACGCTCCTCTCAGCCAACTTTCAGATTCTAGACTTTACACACTGCACTTTCAGGAACCTGACACGTTTCTGCAGGCAGGATAGGTAATTAATTTGGCCTGTCCTGGGCATCTGAAATGACGGGACACTGGCTTTTCCACAATTAAAGAAAGATGTTCAACTAAGAATGGTTTTTGTATTCCATTTCTAAAGAAAATAAAACCAGAACTTACGAGCATGTATAAACCTTCCTAATGCCTTTGTGCTTGATACGATTGTGCCGACATAAACTGTGGGATGAACTGAAAGATTTGTCACATTGCCGACAAGGATGTTTCTTCATTTGCTTCAAAAAAAAAGAGAAAGAATTTAATTTTAAAAGCTCAGTAAAAGTGGTGCATGTGTTGAACCTTCTGACGAATAGGAAAGAAACATCACTTACCTGTTTTTGGTACTGTACTTCACGTACACCCCGCCTTCAACAACACTGTACAAGTCAGAGCTGGACCTCTTTCAAAGCAGTGTGGCCCCCATGAGCTACACACACACACACACACACACACACACACACACACACCTGTCTCTAGCTGTAAACTGGTGTCATGGACAGTGGATGAAGAAAATTTCTTCCACCAAAGAAACAGGGAAGATCGGAGGACTATTTCTGGATCAATAAAGGCAGCAGGATGAGGGGGTTGCCTTCCCACCAAACCATGTCCCCAGCTGCTGACTAGGAGCTCCTCAGCCACATACAGGGAGTGGTGAAGAGCACAGAAGAAGGACTTGAATCTCACAGACACTGACACACTAACAGGGTTCAGGAAAGGCATGACGAAATGAGCGGCATGATCTGATGCCAATTTGATGGCTATCTGTTCAGGGATTTCTGTGGGACTGATGTTGCAGCTGGCCAAGTGGAAGGAAAAAGTAAAGGAAGAAACTGAGAAGGGCTGGAGCAGTCGCACACTGTAGCTGTGTGGCAGTGAGCAGAAGCATCAAGCCCATGATCAGAAAAGCAGGACGAGGATGATACTCAGCAGGACCTGGGGGCACTATGTGGGGTAGCCAGTTGTGACCCCACACTTGTTCTAAATGCCTTGGGGAGACTTCAGCTAGAGATCCAAACAGGATTTTGGATGCATTAGTTTCTGCAATGGCAGCCAAACCAAAAAGAATTGAAAAATTAGTTCTGTAACAAAGTGCAGCATGATCTGTTGTACAGCATCTCATCTTGACAGAAGAGGGTGATCAATGACTAAGCTGGAGTAGGTAATTCCTACTTAAAAAACATCTGCCCTTTAACAGAAACACACCTGCACACAAAGTCCAAGGAGCTAGCAGATGGCCAGGATTTGAGTGCAACAATTATCTAATATTTCATAATAAGGGCTATTCTTGAGGTAACATTGCACATAAACATCAGAGAGAGAAAGACACAGATTTAGAGCTAATATTTTTAAAGCATTATTGATATGCTACTAACCTTCTTTTACATGCCCTTGGCTACTCTGCTGTGGATGGAATCAGACTGAATATCGCTCTCTAGTTCACTCTGAAGTGAGAGTTTTACTGAGAGGTTGTGCTGCTTTGTTTTTAAGAATTGCATAAATGTACAATGTATTCAGTCTTAAACACATTTCTGATTGCCAGTAAAAGCTCTGCTGAGTTAATATTTGGGCAGCAGGAAGCTGAAGGAATGGGGCGGGAGTTACTGGAGGCAATGATGCTGGGGTGCTATTTGCTTGAAGTTGTCCTAAGAAAATTGAAGATGACACTCAGTAGTGCAGCATTTTCAGCTTTTCCATAAAACGCTTATAAACAGAATAAAATAATTTGCGGAACAGCTTTAGAGATAATAACTGTAATAGAAACCTCTGGAAATGTGCAATCATTTATTACAGCACATTAGGATCCTGAAAACTACGGATTTTTCACTCAGAGTGGTTCTCCTCCACTTAGACAAAATCAGCCTATTATCCCTCCCAGTCCTGCTCTTTTGCTGCAGTGCAGCACAGTACATCAGTTTAGCTCCCTGGTTCCCAGCTGAGGAAAGAGAGCATTAACACCAGCACACGGCAAAGGTGAAGACTGGCTTGGCAGGTGGCTGCCGCATGTCATCAAGGGGCTGGAGCCTGCTCTCACAGCTAAGCAGGGTCACTATTGCCTTCCTGACTGCCAGTCTTTTTAAGTTCATTTAAATGGAAATGCTACTGAACACAGGAAGAACATCAAACAGTCTCTCTGCTGACATGAGGATGCAACATTCCCACATTTCACTTTCAATCCATTTTAAGTAAGATATCTCAAATTCAGGTGCTCTAAATACAAAATTCAACTTGTTAACTCAGCCGAACTCTTAAATGTCACATTAGAGCAACAGCTCAACTGTGGAATGTGTCTACCTTTAAATGAAACACCAGTTGGCACTCACTGGATGAGTAAAACATGATTGAGTCTCCACTCCCTGAGGCTAACAGGCACTGAGCTTCAGAAGAGAACACAATCAAATTGTTTAAGTTGGAAAAGATCTTTAAGATTGGGTCCAACTGTTAGCCCAAGCCCAGCGCTGCCACGTTCACCACACCACCGTGAAGAGAGGGAATTGAGAAGACACAAAGAAGAAATAAGAACCTGGAACAGATTAGATGGCTTGGATGAAATACAGCAATATATCTCGCTCTTTCCATCTTGAAAAAATTTCAGTACTGAATGAACAAGCTTATAGTTGATTTTCTCAGTGGAATGATGTAGAAACTGAAAAAAACTAAGCAGCTGAAGCAAAAAAGATGAAGTAGATATAAGAATAGTGAATAATAATGCTGGGACTTAAAGAAATTATCTTCAAAAACACAAATGAAATTTAGAAACAAATACTTCAGATTTAATTCACCTTTTTGTACTGAATATATTCCATTACCTTTCCATGTTCTTTCCTCATGTGGGAGATGTAAACGTCTCTCTGAGTGAACAGCCTGTCACACTCCCAACACGTCCAGCCAGGACTAGTGACTTTTTTAGGTTCTGCTTTCTTTATGGGAGAAGGAGATTTCTTCTCCAACTTTTCTGTTCCATTAACAGATTTTGTGTCCTCTTTGTGACTGGCTGAGTTTTGAGTTGTGGGTTTAGTACTGAGAGGCAGGTTTATCCCCAGGTTTGGTGGCCCCTCAACACTTTTCAAAGTTCCATGCATAGACTACAATAAAAGAGAGAGAAAAAAAGGTAAAAAACTGACACAGACATACACAGTTGTACTCAACCAATAGCCTTCAGTTACTTGTTTGGCATGCTGTTATCATCAGATCACATTTGTAAAGGAACAAGATTAAGTAAAGGCAAGACCTAGCATGACCTAACAATAACTGACACCGTATGTAGGTATTTTCACAAAAAAATAAGAGACTTCCTTTGGAGGGTAAGTTTAAGTTGCGGTTTAGCAACCTAAGGGAGGAAAAAGGGGTTCAAGAAATACTTCATGTTAAGCTTAATTTCTTGCTTTGCTTAGCTGACATGTTAGTTGAGCACCCTCATTCCAGATGTGACTAGAGATTTCCAAGAAGGAAAGGTGTTTTTACTGACCAAATGTTGACTTGCCATATTGGTAAATAAGATAAGGCAACTCTGGAAACATCACGTGGCTATGTAATTTATTAACATTTTACACTGAGGCTGAAGTTAAGCCCTGCTTTACTCTCATTTAGGGCTACATTGCTAGGTAGGTGTGGGGCAAGGTGTGTGGGGCAGACAGGGCCCCACAGCAGATCAGAGGGGTCTGAATGGCTGTTCTCCAGCCCCTGAAGCTCCTGGGTGGGAAGCTTTCCTCAGAGACTTATGTCTGCACTTTAAGTCAATGGTCAGTAAGAAGGGAAGAACTCCTCCTTCCCCCATTCTCCATTTCGGAACCAGTGTAAGTGCGCTGGTGTGACCTGAGCCTTCCACCAAAGAGACTTGTTCAGAAAGGGCTGCAGGGCTTCAGCTGTGTGTCTGAGTTCCACACGTGGACGTGGACACAGCAAGAATGAGGAGGGTTTGGGCCAGAAGGGATGACTGCAGACCAGAGCTAATCCACTGCTGAACAGGGACCCACAGCTGAGGTCCCATGTCTGAAAGGCTTTCCTTTACCAGGACAGTGTTCTTATCCTCTCACCTACTGAACCTTTCTATAACCTTCTTGATTCTGGGAATATAGGAGTATCAATGTGATACTCCAGCAACAAGTTCTTTTGTAAATACTTCGGCTCTTGCAACTACCCACTGGCTCTAGAGCAAATATCAACTTCATCAGTAGAACACATTCTCTGATTTAACAGCTTTTAAATACCAGAAAAGCCAATGATTAACCCCCCATAATGGTTAATAAAAAGTAAAGTGCACAGGATCAACAGCTAAGAGCAAAGTGCAGGTGGGTAGTAATGGAGGAGGTACTAATACTGTGCTTTAGTATCTGCACAGAGGAGCAGGAAATGAGGTTCCTGTACTCTCAGGCATCTGAAGCTGACCTGGAGATTCTATTGCAGCCTAATCTGTCAGCATGTAAAATGTCAGTGTTCAACTTTCCAAATGTCTTGTAAATACAGTACTTGAAATTTCATTTCTTATTTGAAACTACACCAAGAGCATTAAAGCATAGTATGGAGTCCTAGTGCTGCCCAAACAGGGAGCATTACAGCTCCAGGCCAGGCCAGGCCAGATCAGTGCTTCACCATCTGCTCTCACTGGCTGCTGGAAATTTTTTTGCAGTGAGTCATTACAAGAAAATAATACATACATTTTGCCATCAAGAAATATTGACATCTGCAGGAATTATTCTGGGTTATTTTCTGTAGCTTTAAATAATCTCCTCCTGAGCTTCCTTCTGTCCCTTTCTGTCCTACTTTCATCCAGGTCTGTCTCTGCCTTGATGGTTTATGTCTAGCCGTACCAAACCATTACTTTCTGTGCAGCTGAGCTTTGCCTCTGACTGGCACTCAGACTCTCCCTGAGTCCTCTTGTGCTTTTATCCTCTCCCTGAATAATTTTCTGCTTTTATTTATAACTTGTTACTGTTTTTTTTCAGTTCCCCTTAACTGAATTCCAATTTACACTGCTTTGGTCCAGTCCCTGCTGCTACACACACATCCTAAATGCAAAACCAGCAATAGTACTACTGCACATGTATTGTCTAATCCTCTAATTTTAGTCTCAAAAATGTCTGAATCATTTATAGTGAATCGTACTAAAACCCCACTGGTTGAAAGTTCAAATACTGGCATGGAACACTAAAGCCAAAGAAGTTAAGTAATGCCCAAGTAACTGAGCATATCTTTGAAATGTGAGATGCTGAGCACCCCAATTTCTGTAAAGATAGCTTCTGGCTCTAACTGCAGACAGATCAGTTTTACATTGCTGCATGAGAGGAGCATCTAAGATATCTTGCAGTAAACATGCAAGAACTAGTGCTACTAGTTCAGAAGCAAAGAAAATATCCAGTCCTTATATTTCTGAACATCTTGGCTCAGCCTTTCTCTCAGTCTCCTCCTCAAGTTGAAGACTGGCTTTAAGACCACCTGTTTTTTTTCAAGACTTATGACCTTATTTTCAACATTACTTCAGAGACTTCTGTGGTTACAAGTGCCATAGTTGGGACTAAAATGAAAAATGATGTTTTTAGCAGCCAAAAAAAGATGTCTGGTGTTACACCGTGCAGTAGAGGAATAGTATTCAGAAATTGTGTCACTGCCAGAGAAGCGCAGCAGCCTCCACAGTCCCATTCTGTGTTCAGGCACCAGGGATTAATAAGGAAAAACCTCAGCTTTGGTCTGTATGACATGAGATAACAGTCTGTGTCAAACACACAGCTAACAAATGATAGCCAGGGGGCTGCTGATCCTTCCAATCAGGACTTACATGGATCACAGTGAATCATTAGCTCTTAATGGTGTTCTGTGGAAATCCGCTGGAGTTTTTTTCAAAGCACACATGTTCAAGTTCACATAACACAGGTAACCTCTACATCTACCAACATACTGCTTCCTGGTGAATTCTGAACAGCAAAGGTTTGATTTTGTGATGCACTCAGCAATCTCAGCTCCTAACAATTGAAATTATACTTAGAACACTATAAGTAACTCAGTATTTGTTAGGATTTGGCTTGCTGAGATATTCCCAGTATACCAAAATCAACATTCTAACAGAAAAAACTGAGTCATCACAGATATGCTGAAGACCAAACAAAATATAAAATTTTAACATTTGAGAACATCATTGACAGATTACTCTCTCAGAATTATTAACATCTCTCTCAGCAGTCTTGTTACTCTGTGCCTTTTCACAGTATGTTCTCACAGCATATATTGCATGACAAATGGTATCATGAAGGAAACAAGAGAAGATGCCTACACACCTTGATATGATCCATCATAAGCTGTTTCTGTGCATATAGAAGAGAACAGTCTGGACACTTGAAAACAGACACCTTCTGGTTTTCAATGTGCTGATCAAAGTGGCGATAGAGCAAAGGTTGCAGAGTAAACACAGTGTCACACATAGAGCATTTATATATTATTCTGAAAACAGAAGCACAATAAACAATATCAGTCATGTTGATGATCTATTTGCAAGAATCATGACGTTAACTTTTTTTCTCATCACAGATAAGATCTGACATGTTTAAGCAATCATTTCACACTGCCTGAAAAAAAGTTAAACTAATTCAAAACATCCTTCAATTTCAAAATATGGGAACAGTAGAAGAAACAGAAAATAGAAAAAAAATTGAAAGTGCAAACAAGAAGCCAATGAAAACAACAGCATGTGCCAGTTACATATACAACAACAACATCTGCTCAGGATACTCTGACAGTTCAACGCCTTCAGTTTCTGAACTCACACTGTAGATAAAGGATAATATCCCTGGCTCCAGGTTACAAACCTGTATACTGTATATGCAGTATATTGTAAGGAGTGATTAATTCAATTGTAGTTAGCAACATGCTTCAAGATAAATACATTTTTGGCAATGTTCATGGCTTTGATGCTCCTGAATGCCAGACCTAGACTCTGTCAATGCCCTGAAGCTCCAACAGCACAGGACGGGATTTCCTTGATCTGCCATTCCAAGCCTTGATGAATCTGTCACAGAAATGTAGAGACACCACCAAATGCTTCCTTTCTTGGAGCACATGTGACTTTTGAACATCGGTTCCCCAGCCTCCTGTTCTTACAGCAGTTTTCTAACCACAGATCATGAGATGAGAGAGAAATCTAAGCCATGCAATCTATAGTGCTGCAGAGAAAGTTTAGTTAAAAGAAGCCCAATCACAGGTGCTCAGTATGCAACAGGCACTTCCCATCCTTAAGAGTAACTTCCACTTAAAAAAACAACCCTCAAACCCTCCTGTCTGCTAAAGTGCTAAATCTTCTCATTAGCCACATAAATGTTCCCAGTGCTTTCTACACCCCTCTAAGTTAATTATCATTGATAGTGCATTGTTCCAGAGCTCTAGGGATCACTCTGCACTGGGATTACAAGAACCTGGGCATTGCTTCCATGTCCAAGCTGTCCTGTAACTCCAAATGAAAAACAATACACTTCTTCATGTTAACTGGGAAAGACTGTTTTTGTGCTGTCAAGGAGTGCCAGTTTCTCACACATGCTAAGATAAATGTATTATTTACACAGCATCCTCTGATGATCAATGTACTATTGTCCTGCTTTCTGTGGTGAATCCTTCACTGCAGATCTGGAGATATGTAGAAATTCTATCTCAATTTATCACATATAAAAACTGTAACTCTCTAAAAACACCACAAGCTACATCTCTGTATTTTCTGTGGCAGCTAAAGTACTTTACTCTGCCTTCACAGAAGCAGAACTATCTGGTAAAGATCCGAATTTCAGACAAGTTCTGGGCAAAGACTGTACTCACTTAAATTCATACCAACACACCTCACAGTATGACTATACACTCCTGGAGTATTTCCTTCAGACACAGCAAAAACATGATTTTCAATCCTTAACCATGCAACCATGTTCACTGGTTTTGTTTTTCTTTAATTTAATTGAAGTAGTGTTTACCATGCAACTGCCTAAAATGCTCTTCAAAGCTTAAAGGCAGTTGTGCTTCCTCAGGATGTCATTTACAGGGATGCTGGAATAAGTCAGGCGGTTCATCCCATCCCATCCCATCCCATCCCATCCCATCCCATCCCATCCCATCCCATCCCATCCCATCCCATCCCATCCCATCCCATCCCATCCCA